GTGTGTCATGAAGAATGGATAGATCTCAGCTCAAGTTGATGGAGGTCGTTATTTGGCATATTTGCAGGCCTAATTTACTGCTCTAACTTGCATAATCATTTGTCATATTCTTATTAAGATGAAATTAATGTATTGGTCCCATGAGACCTAAAGGCATCAAGTGTTCCTTTTGAGAAAACTCAGTGCTTTCACATTTTCTCTCTATTTTATAGCCCTCTATTCTCTCTGTTACCCCTTTTTCCCCATGGAATACTATATTATTGGGAAGCTCTAGGCCTTATTTCAGTGATCAGTACCAAGTAGTACTTTAAGAATGCCCACATGAAAGGGAAGGAAAGAAATTACTTTTTCCTTTACAGATCCCTTAATTGGTCAGATTTTGTATTCTTAGCCTCAGCATGATTAGGACAGGGTTTGTAATGTCGTCATTGGTGACAGCTCAGGTTGGAAGTGCTAAAGACATTCCAATGTTTCCATAATTTTGGGATTCATGAAAATTTTAATCCTCTGTGATGAGATCGTCAATCGTCAACTTGTTGGGTGTAATTTGATGTTCAGATTAAATCTTAACCTAATGAGAAATGGAACTGCATATCAGTCATCACTTATGAAATTAATATTGCAGCCTGTTATTTTTATGAAGCAGATCTCAGTTAACGATTTAAGTCATCATTGAAAGGAGAAAAAATTTAATGCAGCAGATGGAGGTGGCTCATGCTGGCCTTACACAGAGTAAGGCATTTAAGGTAGGTATTATAGACCTTGACTGTAGGCATGACATTAACAAGTTCATAAAGTTTATTTCTAAAGGAATGCAATTAATGTATGTGCCTAAATGTTAGATCCATGCTTGATCAGACTAGAGGAACTGTTATTATTCATACTTTAGGCTTTTCTCGTGCATTTTTATGTAGAAAGATTTTAAGCTAGTTCCTAACCTCATCTGAGTCCAAATGTGCCATTTAAAAGCATAAACATGGTTTAAATGGAGCGGATATGAGTTCATGGTGCCTTGAAAATTTAGTTTTGGGTATGGCTTGTTGCATGCCAGACTTTCTGTGCAAAATGATTTCCCTGATGTATCAGGACCTGCTTAGCTATCTTTTTCTGCCAGGATATCTTCCCTGTTTATTTGAAAGTCACATGATCCTCTGGAACATTGTCCTCATTTGAGTTTATGCATCTGTGCTAGTATGTCTTGAAATTGTCTTCACTTTTCTTCTCATGAGACTATGGATTTGGGAATGCATCCCAATCTCCAGATCTCCTTCCCTCTGTCATGGAATTGATTGAGTTGTGAAAAACAGTTACAGGAGGCCTATTTAAGTGATCAGAGTGGATAGCTGATAAGAATGAACGATAAGAATGAAGCAATACCCTAGTGAGTTGTCAAAAAAAGGTTGCTGCAAATATTCAGCAGAAAAATGAGCTTTTGTCATTCATGTATCCAATAATAACATATGGATGCTTCTTCCTTATCACCATTAGCCATCCACTGCATTTACTAGATTTGTCACCCTGGGGCTGTTTTCTAAACACTGTCCAATTTCTTATCACAGTGTCTGGTTCTCCAATAATGATGGAACCATGAGTCTCATAAAAAGTGGTTAGCTGCAGGCTCTTCCAAGGATAGCCTGTAGATTTACATAAAAGCAACCTTGCGCCCATTGAAATGAGGCCATAGAATCACAGGGGAGTAATGTTTATGTGAACCATGCCCCCTTGGAGTGGAAGCCTGGTTTTTAGCAAATTCTACTACTTTTGAGATGACATCAGATTTTTCATAGTGCAAGAAGTACAAGTTGGCACATAATTTCATTAAGAAATGCAGGAATACTCAAGTCACAGCAAGCATGTGAGGGATTCATCCAGCTGCTGACATCAAAATATTAAGAAAACACTTACAAATGAATTCATAAAAATATCCTGGCTTTGATGAACTTCAAATAGAATAACTAGGCTTCATGACTGCACAAAAAGGAACAGCTTTAGCATGTCATCCTGTGTGGAAGTTGTAACAGGGTGTGGCTATGATAATCAAGTCAATCAGGAGTTCACCATGAAAAATGGTCTTAACATCACAGAAAATTGGTTTTAGCAGTTTTGCACTAGGAAAAAGTTACTGCCACCATAGCCTATGTTTACCCATTATTTAAATTTATTTCTGTTGTTCGTTGTGATCTTCTTAGGATTTTGCTTCCTCAGGTATATAGGAGGTCTGGCAAAAAAGTTCCAGGAATGATATTTTTGTATATCAATATCACAAAAATTTTCATTCCATGGACTGATAGATTAGACTGTTGGGCAGTGTTCTGTCAGCCCTCATCGGTCTAGCATCTTGAATGAGAGTTTGGCTGGCAATGTAGCAGCACAGTGGGTAAAGCGTAACGCTTTATGAATGGCTTACGCAAGAGTGACTGGTAGGATAAAAATTTGGGGGTTACTCACCTGCACCCAGCATACCCCCTGTGGATATCAGTTTTAAGTGGCTAATTTATACTGGGCATAGTTTCCTTTTTTGCAGCTATTTATTTCACTAAATGAAGCATCATCTTCCTTCAATTTTCGCCTATTTATTGCTGTATCTGCCCCGTCTTAGGTGGGAAGAACTCATTAAAGGAGCACCTGAGGTGTTCCAAAAGTGTTGCGCTGGGAACGCCTCCAGGAACGCCTTGTTAGATGGAACACTTCAATTGAATTCGGCCATGGGGAACATTAGGAAACGTATTACAGAACACCTCAGAGAGCATCATCTGGAACACCTGACGTGTTCCAAAAGTGTTGCGTTAAACGCGTTCTAGATGGTGTTTTTCAGGTGTTCCAAATCAGGAACATTTTTTACAGTGTAGAGGTATAGAAGTACAGAATTTTTAAGTGGTTGGTCATTTTGGCACTCTTGAGTGTTGATGAGGATGAGGGTACTCATCCAACCACCCTTGAGTTCTGAAGTATGAAATGGAACGGGAGATGCACTATGTCAATGCTTTTCAATTGTGATGATTGACTAGTTAAAAACACATGAATGCTAGGGGGAAGTTAACATGAATCTTACGTAAAATCAACGTAAACATAATTTTGGGAATGGAAACGGGCATGTCAATTTTACATCAAATTGACGTTAATTTTATATCACCGTTTCAGTATCACAGAGGTGACATTGATGCAAACATGTTGGCAATATCTTGACAATGGTTTGTGTAAAAATTATTTAAATGGACAAAAAATATTTACATTCAGTTTAGGTAAAATTAAGATAAACATGTTGTTTGTGCTGTTTCCAATTCCAATCACGACAATCCGACTTCATATGGTTGATTTTGATCTTGTTTGACCAATTATACGTTTTTAGTCCTACATGGTCCATCGTTTATGACGGCAGTAGAATTCCACCAGATGTTGAGGCCATAGTAGTCGGCATGTGAGGGGAAACCGCAAATAAAGTGCAATCATCCTGACGTTTTGGGGTTGCATGACGGCCAAGGGAGCTGGACATGGATGCCTGAATCATGGAATAATAGATGCAAGGTGTATATAGACATCATCCAGGACGAATTGCTCAAGACAGTTGAGCTCGTACGACTGGAAGTGAGGGAGGTGGTTTTTCAGCCGGACAATGATCCGAAATTCAACTTCGTGTGGCTCACTAATGCTTCCAGGACTACAGAATCGAGGTCCAAGAATGGCCAGCAATCACCAGACCTCAACAAAATAGAACACTTGTGGCAAGACATGAAGCGAAGACTAGCTGTGTGCAAGAGTTAGCCCATTTGGATCCACCAATTGTGGCAGCGGGTCACAACCGTGTGGGAAACCAATTCCGTCCAAATATGCCTGGACCTGATCGAGAGCATATCTACAAGGGCGCTGATAGTGTTAAAGGTCGAAGGCGAATAAGCAGAGTATTACTGAAGTCGAATTTCTCAATGTCTGTGTGAGGGACAAAACTTTGTCAATGAGATGGTTGACTTTGAAAAGCTGTAGCTCAGCCAATAGGAGGCCAGTTGACCCGCGACTAGCACCAATGGAAAGCCAAGACGTAGAAGTATGATTGAAACTTAAGTTAAATTGAACTTGTTATTCTCGAGATATGGGTATATGGTCATATGGAACTAGGTCAAACATTGACAGTTTTGTCCCACAATGTATATTTTCAAAACCTTCAATCCCAAACCTGTTCTATTCCAAACCAAGCATATCAAGTCTTTCAACTAGTGAACACTGGCATTTGACATTTGTGAGATCCATATTACAATTTCTAGGAACACGACTCCATTCTGAAGCCCGAATCTTCTAAAATGTACGCCCATGCATGCATAAATGTTATCGACTGAATGATATTGCTGGAGAATTAAGAAACATTTCGAATTTGTTATTCTATTGTTTACGTGGGTCACTCAATAAGTTATCTACCTGAATAAGAAAGAAACATCCGAGGGGAAAAATAACACTTTATTTTTCAATGTAGTCACCTTTTAACTCAACACACTTATTCCACTTTGATTCCAAGGATTTTATTCCCTGGGAATAGAAGTCAACTTCTTGTCCATCAAACCAATCAGAAACGGCAACTTTCAGCTCTTCATTGCATGAAAATCTTTTTCCCCGCAAAAATTTTTTCAAGTGTCTGAACAGAAAATAGTCACTAGGAGCCAGATCCGGGCTGTAGGCACAGGCCTGTTGCTCATCCCTTTCATATTCAGGTAGATAACTTATGGAGTGGCACTCGTAATACTAGCACATAATAGATATATCGATATTTATAAGTAAAGTGTGAGATATGCCCAGGGCAGGTTCTTTAACCGGGATTCCCATCAGTACAATTTTAGTCATGTGTTTCTATTGGGATTTTGAAGAGTTCAAAAGTAAAAAAAAAACTGTAATGATCATCATATTCTTCTTGAGGATACATGGTTTTATCTAACATATGAGTACTTTTAGTCTTTTTGAAAGTGGACCATGCAGCTAGAGTGTACCATTTGATTTCATCTTGAGCAAGACCCAGGCCCATTTGCTCTTCTTTTTCTCAAGGATCAACTGCATCACATCTACGGAATTTCATACCCACACGAAATCCTGGATACAAGGACATCATGGATCCTACCCCTGGAGTAATTGTCTTACCCGAGCAACATACTTGTCTTGGTCCAGCAGAGAAATTGAAGAACAAAAGCTTCTGCATCCGTAACAATAAGCCCTGTCTATATGAAATACAAACTGACGAACTATTCAGAGATGAAAAATTTCGGATAGCAAAACGTATTTTACCTTTCAAGGCCGTCGAGAGCAGGAAAGAAAAGGTATTGATACTGCTTGGAGCCACTGGAGCAGGTACAGTTGCCTTTCCCTTGCGATTTGTTCTTCATGAAAGTCTCTTCACGTTATCCTCAAGCATTCTCTATTTGCGACAGGCAAAAGTACCTTGGTGAATGCCATTTTGAATCACTTCTATGGCGTGGAGTGGGAGGATCCGTTTCGACTGGTCTTGATTCGCGATGATGAAAACGAAGACCTCCTCAAGTCACAGAGTCAGACGTCCTGGATCACAGCCTACACCTTGCCCTGGCAACAGGGATGTCAAGCACCATACCATTTGACCATAGTTGATACGCCGGGATTTGGGGACACTAAGGGATTAATGGGAGACAAGAGCATCATAACCCAACTCCAGAAGTTTTTCTCGGATGCACCACCACAAGGCATGGACCATCTCGATGGGATCGGCTTCGTCCTTCAGACTTCCAACGCCAGATTGACTCCGACAGAGAAATACATTTTTGATTCTGTTTTTTCTGCTTTTGGGAAGGACATCATCAACAATATTTATGTCTTAATCACATTTGCCGACAACAATACCCCACCTGCTTTAGAAGCTCTAAAAGTGGGAGAAATACCTTATGTAGATTACTTTCCCTTCAACAATTCGGCATTGTTTGCACTCGAAGAAGGAACTGATGAGGAATATGAGGATCTTGGAATAAAGAAGACGTTTTGGACATTGGGGAAAAGAAATTTCTCCAACTTTTTCAGGAAATTCCAAAAATCTCAGTCAATAAGTCTCCAGCTCAGCAAAGAAGTTATGAAGGAGAGAGATGCCCTTGGAGCAATGATTCAAGGACTCCAGAGTCGCATCGAAATGGGTAAGGCAACACCATATTCATTATTCCCACACGATTAAGGAAAATATTTAGCCTATTTGCATTTCTGTCTTAGTCTAACGCGCTAAACCTAACCGCGGAAGGATATGAGACGACGGGTAAATGTACGTTTGTGGATACGAATGAGTTAAAACGCTCAAAATATGAGGATATTCCGATGTTCTCACCAGTGGATGGCTTTTTGGTGGATCCCTTAGATATCCCAATGGATATCTCATACCAAGAACTCCAAATATTCCTTCAGGTATCACAATATGGTTTCTAGATAGCTGCGAGAGCGAGTCTCCCCATAAGCTCCCTGGAGCATTTCCTTGATAATTCTCATAAGATATACATATCTATTTATACAGGGAACTTGGAGAAAAATATTTCAATTCCTAAAAAGCATTTGTGAAAAGAGGTTTCTTGGTTCAGGGAGACTTTACACAATTTTGGCCCGCAGGGCGGTGTGATGATCAATGATAGAAAAAGTGACAGTCGTGGACCTGCCTGCACACCTGGACGTAAGCTTGTATCACTTTTAAGGAGCCCTGAGATACGACAAGCAGAGTTCCAGAGCCTCCCGGGCTACTCAGACTTCTTCGAGTCTAATTCATGTAAATGGCGCAAGACTTTAGGAGAGCATTCTCATAGTGCCTCTGTTCAAAAACCTCCTAAGGTTGGGTTTAATGAGACCTTGTTGAAAGACCCCACAAGCATCCAGTACGTTTTTCTGGATGCTTTACGTTCATATAAGTTTGAGACAAATGGTTTCTCTATCATGGTTAGTAATGAAATAAAGTGACTTCTTGATTAGATGGAGAGATATTGTAAGATTTCCCTTGAGAAAGGGTCATTTGTGTTATAATTTCTGCACAGAACTTTCCATTTAATCTTTCTTCCTTTCCTCCCAGCCCTGAACATGCAAACGGAAATCATGCAAGAAAAATCAGTATTTGAGCAGAAAATGACTGATATCAATGCAAAAAAAAACTTTTCTTACAATGTTCATGTGGTGAAACAACGGAAAATCGAATTAATCGAAGGCGAGCACGTCACAACTTGCACGACATGCAATTTCACATGCCATTATCCATGCACAATACCGGACGATGAACAAAAAGCATCATGTCATGTTGTGAACTCCAAAACAGGCCGTTGCATGATTTGTCCTTCTAAATGCCATTGGAAGAAGCATGTCAACAGTCCATATCGACTGGTACCATACATTGTGATTGAAACGAGGACACTAGAGGATCTGAGGCAATCCTATGAAGAAGCCTCAAAAGGACGACTTGATTCAGAATCGATCATCAGTGATCTAAAAGGGCGACTGAAGGAATGTCGACATGAGATCTTGAACCTAGTTAGAGAGGCATATGAGAAAATAAGCAAGCTAGGAAGAATATCGTTGAAACCGAACGCTTTGTCCATTGAAAATTATGTAGATCTTTTGATTTCGTCTGAGGAGCACGAAATGAAATCCGGCTGGATTGAGAGAATTGGAATTCTGAAAGAAGTTCGCGAAATTCTGGGAATTAAAGAAACTGTTCATTTGGAAGAATTTCACACCAATAGAATCATGGCATCAAACACTGCTTCAGCTGGAATCCCCATGAAGAAACCCCCAAGAGTGACGAAAAAGCCGATTGTATTGGCACCCAAACCGGAAATTCTAAGGCCAAAGCAAATATCATCGCCGCAGTCAAGGAAAGTTCTTGGTTGCGAAGATAGAGCCGTATTCAATAGCAAATATATTACTAATGAAGACAATGGAGAGAAAACGTCACATCCTCAAGTAATTATTAAATGTCGACGACATCAATTATTCAAATGTTTACATTTTTCGTGTGAATTGGGCATGCTGACGTTTCTCTTTCATGTTAGACATCTCAAAGAGAAGACATTGGGAGTGATAAGGCTCACACGGGCGCCGAAGCAGCCGGAACAGTGCCAAGAACAACTTGCATGACCAAGAAAGATCACAACTCTTCCCATTCTACGGTTCGCCATATCATCCCTTGCATTGGCCTTAGCTTCATGACTTTAAGGCTTCGTTCGGGGACATGAGCATCATACCTACAATTGAGCTTTAAAATGAAGGGGAAATTTCGTATAAAGGAGATTTAAAATTATTTAATATGATAACTTAATGCCCTTTCACTACAAATATTATATTTCACCTGATACACAGTGGAGTGAATTCGGTTTACTTATGATTGCCAAATATATGAGGCATTGCAGCTCAAGTGGTGAAGGGGTGATTGCACTTCAGGCTCCGATTTGCTTGAAAAAAATAGAGTATGTTAGGATTCAAGCCGTATCAAAAAAAATCAAAATTTTGGGCCTCTAGCTCTATCGGTTTTCCAGATATGCGGTCTCAAACTAAGCCCCCAGGACATTAAGTGACCTAAAACATATATTTTGTTCTATTTGAGATAGAAAAGAGTTTTTGGATTCTAAAGCTGAGACGATGCAAAATCGCATTAAGCCCATTTTCTACTAAGTTTATCAAAAATTGAATTGAACAATTGCCAAAATTATAAATATGGGCAAATTGTGCACGCTAATTGTGAGCGCTACGATGTATGGTAGCACAACGAGCTTTTGGAACATTGCAGAATAAAGCAATGGCAATGCTAAATGTGAACTTTCTCCTCCTTTATTTGAAACAACTTAAAATGGAATTTGAGAAGTCCAATATTGCCTATCTACACCAAATTTGGGGGGTCGTACTTTCTTTTTCAAGAGGGATCTAAACCTGAAAGTAACTTCAAATCAGAGCTTCCTTCGAGCAATTCTACCGATATATTTCATTTATTCGTACTTTTACTTTTCGAGGCTGTGTTGTATTTTGAACATTTAAACTCGCCAAATTCCCAATTTAAATTTTCTACTCAAATTCCAGCAATGGGAATCTCGGTTGAACAAACTGCCCTGAGCATATCTCACATTTACCTGACGAATATCGCCATTTCTATTATATTCCTGTATTAGGCAATAAAAAATTTAAAGTTCGACATGTTCATGAAATTCCAACTTTAATTTAGTCAGTTTCCTTAACGCATCCATGCACGTACATTTCAAAAGATCCAGACTTCAGAATGGAGTCGTGTTCTTTCTAAGTGTAATATGAATGTCACTTCAGTCAAAAAGTCAGTTTTCATTGCTTGAAATACTTACTGACCGATGACCTCGACATCCTAGCGCAGTACTTCAACACCTGGAAACTGCGCCCAAACCCCACCAAAACCATGGTGGCAGCCTTCCACCTGGACAACAAATTGGCCAAGGCAAGGCACAGCGTTGACTTCTGGGGCAACCGCAAGAAGCATAAGGATACGCCTTCGTATCTCGGTGTCACGCTTGACTGCTCACTGCCATTCAAGGTGCACCTTGAAAAGGCGGGTCAAAAGGTGAAGAGCAGGGTGAACATGGTCCGCAAACTCTCCGGAACAACTTGGGGAGCAAGTACCAACACATTGCGAACAGCACTCTTGCTAGTCTATTCAAAGGCAGAATACTGCTCAACAATCTGGGCCTACAGCTGCCACACAAAGAAGACAGACTTGCAACTCAATGAAGCGATGCGCATCATCACCGCCACTCTGAAGCCGACTCCAACCACATGACTCCCAGCACTGGCCAACATCGCACCTCAAGGCCATACGAAGGGAAGCGCAAACTTAACGTGCCTTCGAATCCATGTCCGCCAACACGAATCAACCCATCCAACGCATCATAAACGACCCACCGAAAAAGCTGCTAAAATCCCGCTCTCCTTTCTGGGAGATGGTGGCAGCACTCGACCCACCCTCCTTCAATGTGGAGGAACGATGGAGAACACTCTGGGAAAACACCAACATCCCAAATAAGTCGCTGGTCTCCGACCCAACAGTGGAGCCTCCCAGGTACGACATCAGCCGCCATGAATGGTCAATTTTGAATCGCATCCGGACAGGTCAAGGTCGTTGCACCTATCTCCTTCGCCGCTGGAAAATGAGTGACGACCCATTGTGCGACTGTCACGAAGAACAGACCATGCAGCACATCATCCATCAGTGCCCCCTAAGGAAATATCCCGGAAATATCACAGACATATCAAATGATATTTCAGCCATTAACTGGCTCACCAACCTTTACATTGCCCTTTACAGATCTTGCAAGCTATTCATACCACACGATAGATGAAGAAGACATCGACTACAAATTAATTCCTGCTCTATGTCTAGGTTTATTGAACTACGGTAACGGGGCGCAAAGTACTTCACTAAAATATGCACCGCTGACCACTTCAGCGAAGTGTCTTCACAAGTTGACACTCAGGCAGTGGCGTAGCCAGGGTTTCGCCAATAGCTAGCGGAATGGTGGGGCATTACTTCTGCTCGTACAGTGAGGAGGAAAGGGATGCATTTAGACAGAAGTTGGGGGTTTGAACCGAATTTAGGGGGACTGATGCACCCCCCCCCCCCCCCTCGCTACGCTACTGTTATCAAGAGAGTCAGCAAATGTTGAGCCATTCCTTCATCATGATGAAGGATTTGACCATTTGAATGTGTTATTAAGAATGCCTGGACTCCAGCGAGACAAATGGTTGCATGCTGGATAGGAGATGTTATAAATATAGCATCTCTCCGGCAGAAGAGATAAATGAATATGTGGGAGATTTGATCGACCCGCAACCAACAGCAATTGATTCCTCAAGGGCCTTCTAACACAGATGCATAATTTATTGACTTCATGAATGCATTCAAGGTTTAAAGCAACACAACTAAAAAAACTTTTAATTCTGCTTCAATTCTGCAAACAGTTGGAGAAATCTTCGTCTAATTTTAATGGAATGAATCTTAGACGAATGAAATAATTAGAACCAAGTAATAACTCGAAATCTCATTCCCTTTTTAAATATTGTTGTTATTGTTTTGACATTTCACATAGGGGACAGTCACATAACAATTTGAAAGAACACGACTTCATTCTGAAGTCTGAATGTCCTGGGTACGTGCAAGAGTGCGTTAAGGATACGAGCGTTAAGGAGTATATTGTATCTTCGGGAGTCCATAAACATGTCGAATATTGATATTTTATTGCTTAATACAAGCATATAATAAAGAGAGTTACATTTATCAGTTAAATGTGAAATGTGCTCAGGTTTGGTTATTCAACCGGGATCCACATCGCTGTAGCTTGCGTAATATTTCAATTGGGAATTTAACGATTTCAAAATATTAAAAAACACACAGACGCGAAGAGTAAATGTAACAACATGAGTAATCAATGGAAAGAGCTCAAGGAGGGATTTCATTTGACAGAAGTTTCAGGTTTAGATCTCGTTTGAATAAGGAAGTATAACCCCCAAAGGAGGATGCCAAAAACCGCCCTGCGTTACAAACCAAAACAGGTTTCAATTGATAGATCTTCGTCAGTAGATCAAAGTTGTGCCCATTGGGGCACAAATATGTCAGAGAGTGCGATGATTGAATTATAGGTCATCAAAGTTCAAAACCTCGGTCGCTCGAGATCTTTTGCAACGCTATAAATGTACAAATGAAAATGTTTTTCAATATTATTTTCTACTAGGGAGTCCGGTCCTGATACCCAGCAACTATGTGGGCGCTAAGTGTCATACACTCCTGATGGTAATCAAACGAAAACAAATCTGGCTTCGTTGTATGGCAAAATTGTCGTTTTTCATTTTTTATGAATTGTATTTTCTTAAACTTAACGTCAATCATAGGGAATGTTCATGTTCATGTTCAAATAAAGTTCGTCCAAATTTTTACATTTTCTTTTATGTTGAGGTATGCACAAATGTTGACTGACTGAATGAGCTCTCTAGCATCTATGCAACTTGGGTTAGAAAGATGAAAATGCTGTTAGTAGCAAACGAACAACAATAACAGTTTTCAGCCTACTGCTTACAAATTTCATTATTAAAAAAATATCTAATTAGGATGTCAGTGACACCTGCCAGGTTTTCTTCGCAGAAGAAGAAAATATAATGCATTAAAGGGTTAACAAACGCTGGAAAAGTATTAGAGCAATCGAAGTGTTGAACTTTGATGACCTATAACTCAGTGATCACACTCTCTGACAGATTTGTGCTTATTGAGAACTTTGATCTCCCCACCATGATCTATCTATTGACACCTCTTTTAGTTTGTAACGCGGGTGGCAGCGGTCCCATAAAAAGTTGGTATCCTCCTTTGGTGGAAATAGGAAATATTGGACTTTTCAAATTAAATTTTAAGTTGTGTCAACCACAGCAGGAAGTTCAAATTACGTTCTTAACATTGCCATTTCTTTTATATGTTATGTTCCAAAAGCTCATTGTGTGACTATGCATCATAATGCTTTAAATTTGCGTGCAAAATGTGGTAATATGTACAATTTTGGAAATTATACTATTTAATTTCTAGTAAGCGTAGTGGAAAATTCGTTTTAAAATGCGATTCTAAATAGTCTCCGTTTTAATTAGACTTCAAAAACGCTTTTCTAACTCGACTAGACCAGGATAGCGCGTTAACCACGAAGGTCACTTTATCTCTTAGGACATTGGGTCTTAATCTTTTTTGACTGCGACCCAAATGCTACCTAGTGATTGTGAGCTTAGAATCCAGACTGCCGTTTTTACGCATTTAAGCCACTGATAGGTGCAAAGGTATGTTTTGGGTAGCATACATGACCTAGACTATAAAGGAAAGATTAGTCATAGGAGACCTTTGGCGACCCATTCAAAATGACTTGACCTACTGTATATTGGGTAGCGACTAGGGGGTTAGGAACCACCGTCTTAGGGCAAGGTATGAGACCGCATATCACGAAAACTGTTAGAGCCAGAGAGCCAAACAGAAATTTTCCCCATAAATCTTGGAAGCCAACGTGCACAAAATGTTCAAGCTTATCAGTCTTAAGCAAAGCGAAAGTTCCTTGAATTTCACCATTTGAGCCGAAATGCCGCATTTAAGTTCAGCCAGGGATTTGTTTAAGCAGAGAGCGACTAGTTTCTTTGCCTAAAGGGTTATGAACTCGCCTTCGGCGCTCTGCGCTCATAGAGCAAAAACAATGAA